GAGAGAGAGAGAGAGAGAGAGAGAGAGAAGAAAGCGTGGAGATGGAAAGGTTTAGTTGCAGAGGCTGTTCTACCGGATCATCCGGTGTAATGATCCGCGAATGGATCTGGATCGTGACGATGCGACTTACTCGCGGTTATTCCGCGAACCAGAACGATTCCTCGTCTCGCGCGTCTATGCCTTCCAACCTGTTCTACGCCGTAGTCGCAACGGTGAAAGGAATGGAACCGATTATGTGGTATAGCGTGACGCGCGCATAGGAGCGCGGCGAGAACAGCTGGTGACATCGAGCTGCTCGCTCCACGGAATCGGGCTCCATCGACTCGTTCGAAAAGTAATCGATTAAGAATTTCGAATAAACCCGTTTCGAGAAATTACTCGTTAAATTGCGTCGAACAACGTTTATTCGTAACTGTTACGGTTTTCGCGTTATTTATCACGATATTGAACGATAAATTATAATTCAAGTAACCTTATTCGTAACTTTGATTCCATTCAATTTTTTTAGACAAATAACAATGTTGCGTGCACAGGAAATTTCAATCGAATCCGAAAAAGGAAAATTAACTCGATAATGAAACGTTGGTACGGATCATGGATGGAAGAGGGGCGTCGATTCATCCTGGTTTTCATCGGCTGTCGTTATCACTCGGTTCCATATTATTTCCGATAATACGGCAACCTGTTGTTATCCAGCGTTCACCGCCCCTCTTTGATACGCGGAAAATCCAATCCAATCAACCAACGATCAATCTCTCAATTGTTGTTAAAGCATTTCGATTTCTCACAGGTTCCACGACCATATATATATATATATTGGTCGGAAAGTAATTTCGTTTTTTGACACGAGTGTCGCTAGTCGAACGTTTCTCCAGCCAACTTCACTCTAAACCGTGTTGTTATCATATACTTCGAGAGTTGGCATTTCACGGTTCATTTATAAGAAAAATTCGTTTGATCACGTACTGTTGTGTTTCTCGCGCATCGCGACAACAAAGATGCAAAACCGAAAGAGCATATTTTCGGCATATTTTACTTTTTTATTATCGAAAAGGTAAGACACGAGTGTCGCTAGTCGAACGTTTCTCCAAGCCAACTTCACTGTAAACCGTGTTGTTATATATTTCGAGAGTTGGCATTTCACGGTTCATTTATAAGAAAAATTTTCCTTTTTGTTGTTGTGTTTCTCGCGCATACATTGATGAACAAAGACCAAAAAAAGGTGCGTTTTCGACACATTTCACTTTTTTATTATCGAAAAGATAAAAACGCTGTTGAAGCGAGAAAAAAGTCACGCGAAATCTACGGAGAAGGTGTAATAACGGTAATAACCAGCGTCGAAACTGGTTTTAAAAATTTCGTTCCGACAATTTCCACGTTAAAGATGCTTCCACGTTCGGAGGAGACTAGAAATTACTACGAGATCCAATTTGTCCAATTCGGCCAGTCCAATTTCACAGATCGCGACTTGGTGTTTCATTGCCACGAAAAAAACTTAAAAATTACTTTACCACGCATACACGTTACGACGACGCATAGGAGGAGAGAGATTTCTCTGGCAAAAAGTGAAAACGCGCGCGTCCAGATCGAGGTGAATGCCGCCGCTCGACACCGGAAGGAGCGGAGCGTTGTACGCGATGATGTAAAGGGGAAGTTTGACGAAAGTTGCGCTCTGGTCGTCGAACCTATACACACAACTCGAATCGAGAGGAGAACGAATTACCCGAGGCCATCCACGATATACATATATATATATATATATATGGGGAGCTGTTATCGCCAGGTGTCATTTCGCGTAGCAATGTCCTCGTCATCCGGTTGAAAACCGGTTCCACGCTCGTTCGTCGATTCTTCGCTAATCTTCGACCACGACGAGGAGGAGGAGGACCTCTTCCTGCTGCACCTCGGTCGAAAAAGTGAAGAAGGACGGCGGGGGAGGGGATGAAAGTGGAGGGCGCGCAAGTGAAGATAAACGAAGAAATGGAAGAAGAGGAAGGAAAAAGTGATCGAGTTAACGATAATCGAAGGTTGGGGAGAAGAGGGTTATTCGTTCGGCGAATAACCTGTTACCTGAAAACACCGAGCAAACTCCGCTTCTTTGGTGGAACGAAACGCGGTCAGAGGGGCTGGCAACACCCCTTCTTCTCTCGTTGAAGGGGACGGCATCGATGCATGTTTGAGAATCGTAAATTATAGTGGTATTTTTATATTTTTCCGGGTAGTTTTCGGGGTTGGAAGGCGGAAAAGTTTGGGCAAAGTGACGAAAGGCGGCGCGGCCATAAATGGCGCGGCTGGTGGTCCGTGCTCTCGTTCGGGAGCGCCACCCCACCACGGCTATGGCCGAGTCCGATGATCGAGGCTTTTCCAAAAATAGGACCACGATAGAGCCGAGCACAACTTCTCGCAGCCAGCACGAGGTTTCTCTCCAATTCGATCGAAATTTGTTCTAAGAATCGTCGATTCGAGCGATCGTAAAAAGATTTCCACTTCTCTTCGATCCGCTCTTCTTTCTAGTTTATCTCCAATTCGATCGAAATTCGCTTC